TTTGTTTGTTTGTTTTGCTATAGGGCACATGCACTCACCAGAAAGGCAGAGAAAGAAAGACAGAAAGCAAGAAATCACCCTCCTGGGGCGATGGCCACGCTGCAATCCCTTCTCCTCCATTCCCCTCTCGGGATCTTGGACACGCACGCACATGTACCCAGCATGAGTTTAAGCCACCAGATCCAAGACTTGAACCACGGTCAACTGCATGGGAGTCCAGTGACGTAGCCATTACACCAACTGCTGGTCCTTTGGAAGTTGTTTATTAACTGTCAAGAACCATGAAGTCTGAGCAGAAGAACAAAAAATTTATATGTAAATTAAATGTGGGAAAATGTAAAAATAAATAAATTATTTTAAAAAAATAAATGGAAGTGGGTAAGATAAGATTATGGCACAAGACGTGGTCAAAATGGACAAGATCCAAATATATTTTGAATTTCAAATTCAAAAGGCTTGATGATAAAAGATAAGGATGTATTGCAGAAATGAGAAGAAAGGAAGTGCCAGGCTTATCTCCGATGTGTTGTGCTTAGTAACTGCTTAAACAGATGTTCTGTTTATGGAAAAAGTAATATCATGAAGAAAAAAATTCATCAGAGTGAATGAAGTTGTTTACATTGGGATTACTTAATATTGAACTTTCCTGATATTTACAGTAAGGAATACTGTAGGCATCTAAATACACAAATCCAAAGCTTAAAAAAAAAAAAAAAAGGACAAAGCAAGAAATACAATGAATGAGTCATCCATATAGTTGGTATTTAAAACTATAGTAAAAGGACAGAAGGTCCAGGATTGAGTCACAAAGAACTATGACTGCAAGGTGATCAACTAGTCCAATTTGCCCAAGACTGAATTTTCCTGGGATCTGAGATATTCAGTGCCTCATCAGCAAAGCCCCAGGCAATCCTAGATGAGTGGTCATTATACCGATAACTTGAGAAAATATTTGAAAAGACCCATTTACATAGGCCAGACACAGGACTAGTGACCTACACCACTCAGGTGATAAGGAGATAAGTTTTCTGCTTACAGGTTTTCATAAATTTGAAGTGAAGAGAAAAAAGGAAAAAAAAGAGAGAGCATTCAGAGAAATAAGAGTAAGGAAAGACCTAAATCAATGGGCTGGTACCAATGCCTAGTGCTTAAGGAAACTGGATCCCACATAGTTGGCCATGTGGTTTGAATCTAGCTCCAGAAGCTTGAAAACATAGTGAACACATGTGTGGGCATACCCCAAATCTGATGGGATAGAGCAATGGAAGAGAAGAGACTGAGGTTTGACCATACCCTACTATGCAGCACTTTTTCTCTCTCCCTCTTTGTCTCTCTCCGGAGAGAACTCATACTCTCTGGCAAATTAAAAGAAAAGGAAAAAGGAAAAAGGAAAGCAGGGAGGAAGGAAGAAAGAAAGGAAAGAAAATACTTAAACCTAATATCACTGCCTCATTAAATTCTTATGCTGGTCTATTAATTTTATCACCTTCCTTCTTACTAAAGGAAGGTAAAGAGAAGCTTAAATTTCCTCTGGACTTAAGGTTAACAAATTATTCCATGACTATTCTTCCTCAAAAAAATCATTAAACTATTTATTTGTGACAGTTACTTGGAAAGTTTACAAAACACCCTCTCCCACCAACTGATAATCACTAATATTTTCAAATTCCTTTCACAGGTCTACGGAGCCTGGTGCAGACCTTTGTTAATTCCATCAGCAGTGGAGACCTGCCCTGCATGGAAAATGCAGTCCTAGCCATGGCTGAAAAACAGAACTCAGCTGCAGTGCAGAAGGCCATTGCCCACTATGACCAGCAGATGGGCCAGAAGGTGCAGCTACCCACAGAAACTGTCCAGGAGCTGCTGGACCTGCACATGGCCAGTGAGAGAGAGGCCATCAAAATCTTCATGAAGAATGCTTTCAAGGATGTGGACCATTCATTTCAAAAGTTACTGAGGGTATGCCTGGTGTTCTAGGTCTTTGAACATAAGAG